ATTTCATCTTTAAAACTTACTTATTGATACTTTAAACAATTGCTTTCTTCAGTTTTTATAATCACCGAGTGACCTTTTTTGTAGATTTGCTACCAGTTCATCCATTTTTCTGTAAAAAACTTAATTCCCTTACATTTATAATGAAAATCTTATTATCCTAAACAGCCTCTAATGTTCTTTGTAGAGCAACAATGTGTAATGACTATGAATATAAAATCCAATGCTCTTTTTTAATCACACTGTTACATTTTCTTTAAAGAGTTCATACAACTGTGAGATCAGATAAAATGATTACAGTATATAAGCTGCTTGTAAACAGGGTTGTTCATGATCTATGGCAACAATCTGTATATCTAATTACCTTGTTCCTGCCATCCCCGTGGCCTACTAATTAACGCATTAAAAAACCCTGAGCCTCCTGTTGCTATTTAGTTCTGCTTATTTGCAAGAACAGGTGACGCCCAAAATTAAGCCAACGTGAAATTCTATATTATATCTATAAAAGCATTTAAGACATGAAATACAGCGTTTCGAAGAAATGGATATCTGTAATGTTGAACCGTATCTGTAAAGTCTACCACCATTGTTTTCCAGCTTCTCAGAGTGCACAAAGGAAGTTCGAAGGTGTTTCAATCACACGAACTGTATGGTTGGGTCACTCTTATGCTGATAATTTTCTTAATGTCTTTACTTATTTTATCAGAAATTAACGGTGGTTTGTGTGTTCTTTTTCACTTTGTTGACTTTCCTCGTTATAAACTGTTCTATTTTGTGTTCTGCTTATAATTTAATTTGAGCAAGCATATGTTCCAGATGAGCATTTGAATTGTTTGATCCCACTATGTGTAACATTACAAAAATTAATATCTTAAACAAGTATCTTTACGCAAGCAATCGAATGCTTACAATGCTAAGTACGTAAGCTGAATTGCGATTTACCTTCAGTTGCCCTGAAATTTATATATATATAGATGGGTTGTAATGTGCATTTTGTGATGCAGTATCAAGAAAATCCAGCATCCGAACGTACTGGTAATGTAATCATATTTCTGGAAGTCAATAAACCATGTCATGCATAAGATAATATCCAGATACAAAAATCTTGTTTACACATAAGTATACACAGTCGATTTTAGCAAGCAGCTGTATAAACAATGATGATCCAGTCTTTGCATGAATATAACGGCTAATGGGAACAAACTCTGGTACTTACAGAAAGTTCTAAAAAGTTTCACCAAATTTAAAAATATTATTTAACAAATCTAAATGTGAGGGTTTCTAGTCAGAAAATATATTAGAATCAGTGTTTGATTCAGGGAAATATTGAAACGCTGAGTAGTTTCATAATTTGAAAATACACGTATATGCGTGCATATTTAAATGTATAGAAATTTCTGCATTTTCGCATACAGGCAATACATGTCTGATAACTTTATGACAGCCATTGTTGAACATATGATATTTTTACTTCAGTACATACAAACATGTCTTTAACGCTTTACTAAATATTTTTGTTCTAAATTATAAATTCTCTAGGCTCCTGATAATGAAGAGTTTGAAACACCAGTGTGCTCTGAAAACGAGCTTTAATGCTAAAGTGCCATCTCTTTTATACAAAACATGCTGTCAAAACTACTAAATTTTTGTTTCTGTTTTGTATATTCCATTATTAAATACGAGACATTACATATACTTTACTTACAATGTACAGAGCCAGAGATACGTCACGTGACGTGGATAAAGCGGAATCACCTCATTGAAATAATGTTGCTCAAAACTACACAACACATTAAGTTAGCTGCCAAATGTAGTTTCGAACTTTATCGGCTATAAATTAACCCAGCAAGGTCGAAGACAGAGAATGTTAATACAGGAGCTTCTTGTCTTTATAACAACAGAATGTTTGGGTCTAAGAAAGAGTTCTACCACTTGTATGTGTGTGCCACACTATAGTTTTAGTAATTCGCCCTCTATACTCAGGTGGTCCTTGAAAAATAACTTTTGTGACAACAATATAAATAAGATTCATGGAGCATAATACATATATTTACATTAAAACATTTTAAATAGTAATACTCACTCCTGTTCTCGAAACTCATTATTAGGTCTGAATCATTAATTGCACGAAGTCCATCTTGAGTGAACAACTGTCCATCAGACTTGAGTTTCCCGGGATCAACTTTTAAGTTTCCGCTCTCTTCGTCAAGAAAGGACTTGTAGAGATCGATCAGATACTGTGGCGCTGAGTTGTGCTTACGGTGATTCTTGGGTTTGGGCCGATGGTGAAGACCCAACAAAGTCAGGATTTCTTGCTGCATTTCTCTTCTCTCCCATTTGGGAAGAGAACTGTAAATAAGTGTCTGATCATTGGCACCGTTATCAGTATATATTACAGATGATCCGGCGTTACATACAGACTGTGACAAAAGAACAAACAGAATACATGCAAATAACACTTTCACCATGATGGCGTCCAGCTACTACCTTACAAAACTATGCAAGTGAATCATGTGTATCTGCACTGCCCACGGCAAAGTTTCTAGTTGGGAAGGGCCAGTATGCTCTTGAAGTATGTCAACATCGGGCGACCACTGTCCCGCTAATTAAGGAACATATTGTAATATTTTTGTATCCGGTATTAAAGCATAGTTCCTATAATTTCAAATTGTCATAAAAAACTGATGACGTTTTGCTCTTTATACGCCTTTGATAAGCCTCAGTTTTTTCTTTATTCTTTTCTAAAATTGAATATTTTAAGGTGTAAAATAAATCAACTAATAGTTATATAGTATAACTATTAGTTAGGGATATATAATTAACTCTCTCTAGCCTTAGAAATACTTTTAAACACTGATTTTAAACCTGTGTTTTGGAAAGCACGATTAGTGTTTCAAGTAAAATTAATGTCAAAAGTTTCTTCTTTATAATAAAATTAATGCAAATACAAAATTGTAAATGTTTTTTAACTGTTCATTGGTAGTTTGGGGACAAGTCTGTGTATCTCACTCTTTAAGATTTAATTAATATGTTTCACACAATATGAACTAAAAGTTTAAAGATCAAGAATAGGAAACCTAGTTCTGGATCACCAGACGTATAGGGAAACGGGAATGCTCAAGAAATCAGTGTAAAAAATAAAAACATACTCAGTTTATATCCATTTTGAAACCCAAATAGAGATTTTGATAAGCTTTTTATTTTAAGAACAAAATACCGCCACAAAAATATGGAATATTTTCTTATAAAGTTACACCTTTTTTGTTGCTTACATGGTTCTGTTGATTCCATTATAAGAACTCGTCAAGTATATTGCAACATACCTTAGGTAAGTCGCATGTTTCATGTTTTTTCAAGCTATTTAACATCTCAACTTAGTCAATGATGATCACGTTCTCCCATAAAAGGATGTGCCGAATAGCAAACTAGAGCCAAAACCAGCTGTTACGTCTCCGTTTGTTAATTGATTTTCC